TCTGTTCATTTATTGCTGTTTGATAATTATGAGCGAAGACTCAAATAAAAGGAATGAAGGAATGCTGTTTATTTATAATAGGGGTCAATTAATGTGATCACGTTTGTCAGGACTTTTTGATAACATTAGCCAAAAGAAAACGGTAAACGATGAGAAAAACATATCCTGTCAAATATCAATGGAATTTAACTAATTCAGTATAAATATAATTAGAAAAATATAAAGAGTTACACAGCTTTTTAACTATAAAAAGGCAATTAATAGTTAATTGTCAGTAATAGTAATAAAAGGACAACAGTAATAAAATGTTAAGCAAAAGTTAATTTAAATATTCATATTTATAATATAGGTTTCATCAGCGTTCATAGTAGGATATTAAAAACACACCATAAGGCAATAACTGTAATTTAGTTATTACCTCTTACGTCAATTAATAGTTAAAGGTATGCCATTTACTAATGTGTAAGTCATTGCCCATTGCGTGGATTACTTTTTTCAAATGATGCCCCCTCTACGCAACACATTCATCTAGGCGGCGTTGGAACCTTGCCATAACTCGGCGTAACGTATTCCCCGGGACATTGCCGACGGCAGTTCGGATGCGATCCTTCAACTCAGGAATAGTGGCACAACGTGTTCGGAAAACTTCTTTACTTCAGGTGCCCTCCAAAGTCTGCACATGAAAGATCAGGTGAGCGAGGCGGCTAGGAAATGTCACCAAAACGGGAAATTACTCTACCTGGAAGTGTCTGTCGCAATCTGAGCAAAGTTCCATCTGGAACTTTCCCATAACATCCCAAGCTGAAATGTTGCCGAAATAGATGCTGAGTAGCAATTACAGAGTAGTTATTCTTGAAATGACATTCAACAGCAAAGGCACGATGCTGATATCACTGTCACACTCGAAATTGCAGCTCATTAGTACACGAATGCGGCACGAGCTGGGGCGCATTCATGCAGTACGCCATTGTACTACGCAAGTCAAATTACGCTATAAACGCTGCCGGACCCTATATTTATAATCATTATAGTCGGAGGACATTATCATCATAGCATTTGTATAAAATCCGCCGATTTCATCCTCATCAGCTTTAAACGATTTATCACATAACGTGTTTGTTTCAGAAAAGTACAGACAAATATAGTCCTCTGTCACTGATGCAGCAATTTGATATATTCTTCAATATCCAATCAAGTGCCGCTCAAACGGTATAGTGGTTAGGGGAGCCCGACTGCGATACCAAAGGGCCCGTGTTCGAATCCCGGAGAAGGCATGGATGTAAAACTGTCTGTCCGTTCATAGGAGGTAACGGTGGCCGCCTATTAGGTGCCTCCATAATAAAATGCTCATTGCTTCTGGCCTTAGGAGTGGCCAATGCTGTTATAGGCAAGTGACCGCCATTTGGGAAAAAAATTCAGCCAAGCATTAATTTCCACACAATTTATGTTAGCTGGAGAAGTTTTGTTTTTATTCAGCTTCCTTTATTTCATTATGTCCTAAGAGGATGGCATGCTAAACAGTGTTTCACTGTCTGAGATGCGGTTCCAAGACATCTTCAGCAAACGCAGTGCATCAAGACGGCTAGTTTTGTTTGCTAATTTATTTGTACTTATATCTGTATCATCTGTGTTATAAAGGACTCTAACACTCATTTTACGATGATAATGTTCTTTCATCATTCTAATAATCTCTTGATCACATGGCTGAATTATGATTGTGATATTTGTTGGCAAGTATAAAATTTCATTGTGTTTAACAGGAACATTTTTGTTAAGTGCTGAGCAGATATCAGTAATAGTTTCCAATAGTTATTAATATAAAGAATAGTTATCAATATTTTTATTGATAACTCTGCAGATATCATTCTGCAGTTTGTTATCCCATTTTAAAAGACATTCATTCAAAATTACTGCCGTCGTCTGTACCGTTGAATTACACTTATAATCCACTGGTAAACTCTTCACTTCAGAGCAACACGGATTTTATCTTTTTCCGAATATTAATAGTTTTTTTTCCTTACCACACATACTCATAGAGGACACACGGTCTTTCGATATGTTACATCCTTTGAAATTTCAGTTTTAAATATACAGGGTGATTATAATTAAAATTGCGATTTCAAAACGCTCTAACTTTAAAACTACCGGGCATAATGACTTGATATTTTACCAGAAAAATGGTCAGGCAATGAAATTTTATTTAGCAAAGGAAAAAATAATAGTTCCAAAATGTGCACATAGATGGCGTTACCACTGTAATGCCAAAGGAAAGGCCTAAATGGGTTAATTAAACACAGGAATGTTGTTAGCCGAAAGGAAATGGTAGACTCGGTTGACGGCAAATTTCTTAGAGAAAAGACAAGAATACATGTTCAAAGTGTAAACAGAGATAATGACAAGAGAAAAAAAGGAACTTTATGAAACAAACACCTTACGGGTGATTAACGCTTACGTTGTTCAATATGCCTACCGCCTTGCTCCGCTACTAAGTTGGAAGCGCAAAATGGAATGTTCCACAATAGATCGGAAAGTATCCTTGGTGTGTGATACTTGCCTTCAAGTCGGCCAGATTCGCAATCTGCCCGTTGTAGATAGCATTCTTCAGGCATCCCTACAATTGATGCGCGACGATTCTACTCTCCATAGTCACATTTCGCAAATGTAGCAGTGCGCAGTTGCAGATTGTGACGTTCTACTGTACTGTAACGTCTGTAAAACTTTAATTTACAATGCGTTTAAAATTTTAGTTTAAAAGGTGTTGGCTCTTGTTTCATACAAAGAGCATAATCTCAAACCTCATTATAATCTCGATGGCAGGCTATAATATTAATTTGCTATCCCTTTGTGACGCTTTGCTTTAGCTGGATTTTTTTGCATGTGTGTGTGATGTTATCAAATTGTATTGGCATAAGTGCGTATTTAATGCAATAAAAAGGTGCATATTTCTTAATAATTACGGCTATTCCTGTTAAACGTTTACACAAAATGGAGTGCATCGATTGCGGACATCTTTGGGTATACAGGCGACAATTTATCTTATACGTGTAAACCAAATAGTGTTTCATACTAATTAATTGATGATCTAAAGCTTTGTAATTGGAAATTTTGCTCTATCTGTTTTCGTTGTCGATTTGCAATGCCTATTCTCCAAATGTCGGCACTGGGGACACTACTTTCTTTTGCATTAGGTCGGGCGTAGTCGCTTTGCATAACTGTTACCTCATTGTAGCTGTAGCTCTCTCCATTTGCAAGAATTTCAGGTTAAAGGGACTTTCCTATGCACCCTATATATATATATATATATATAGTCAAGTTAAACTGTGAGTAGCATCTAACAACAGAGAGAATGATACCGCTGTATTCCTTCTCTAATAACGATGCAAAAAATATGATTCATAGTCATACATTTTTCAGTCTGATGCGATATGGAACCCACATAAAAAATTTCGATAGGAAAAACAAACTAATTCTTTCTCTCATTATATCAGCAACAATAGCACGCAGTTTTTAATGATTTTCGTCTTTCTAATCAAATAGTCGTAAAAGCTTATATTCCATCCAATATTTCACCTATATTCAATTTCAGTCGATTAAATGTGGAAAATCATTGATCATAATTCATCAGAAACCAATAATCACTCGGAAAAATAAAGGAGAAAAATATCTTTTTTCCGAGTATTTAATTAATATCTCTGATTTTAGCTATTTGTTTTTGGAAAAAAGTGGACGTAGAACTTTTCCATGAGCCAGAAAAGAATTAAAGAATTGTAGAAAGTTTGGTCACGATAGCTATAGTTCTGACTGAGTTATTAGAGGACAACCAAACACGCAGACTTTCTTCTTTATATATAGAGACGAGAAGGTTCTGGTAATTTCCGTTTTCTCGAGATTTCTGGAAAGCTAAGGAGTAGAATTATAGTCACAGCTAACATAGTAGTAAATGACATTTATTCAGTTTAAATCTAAATGACAAGATATCTATTTATTAAATGTGCGTGCACTAGTATTTTTCCATTTTTGACGTACCTTCTCTTAAAACTCGTCACGCGCTGCATTACACGGGGGTATTGCTGAGGTATTCACATACTTATGCAAGCCTCATCACCTATCCGGTGGAACAAGTGAGGTTTTGTATTTCTTTTCTTTAACAATAATAACAATAAACTAATAATAGTTATAAAAATGTAAAAGCAGTTGTGTGAGGAGGAGTGAGTCGAGGTGCAGGCTGAGGTGACCTCAGCGGCAACAGAAAAAAACCTTAAAGAACTCTCTAATGCGAAGTTAAAATCAAAATCCCTTTCAGACTTTTTCTTCCTTCCTTTTTTAATAGTACTTTCGTGTTTTGAGTGCTGTGTTATTTTACATAGACGAATAAACCTGTCTATAAAATAAATTGCTTCAAAACGTAGTTAAATTATTAACTGTCAGTTTTTATTAATTATAACACATTTTATTCTCCTTTCCTGCAATTTTAAATGCAGTCGCCATAACCGTCAATTGACTAGACAGAGAGTGTGTTTGGTAAATCTTCAGTTGCTGTAGCTGCTTTTATGTTACCAGTCAATACAATGATAAAGATGTCAAACAATTTTTGCTTCGAAAACAGCAGTCAACATAGCAGGCTATTACGTTGTTGTTCCAAGGTGAAAATATTTCAAACACGTGACATCAGTTGCCACCAGAAGAATACTTTGGTTTTCTCATAAATTTCAAGTTAAAAAATATTGAATATAGAGAAAATAACCTAAGAAAAAATAACCCTCTTCTTCAAAGGCAGATGCGATATTTATCAATTAAATGTTACAATATTATCTTAACAACTACAATATTATTACTTACAATTATGGATTGGCGGGCCGCAGGCGGAACGTGGCAGAGTGGCACGTGGGCCCCGAAGCAAAATTATTCTGCTCGCGAATAATCGTTTCGTCTTACCGCTCCTCATCCTACTGCTGCTTTTCCTCCTGCTGCTTCTCCTCCTGCTGCTGCTCCTCCTCCTGCTACACCTTCTCTTGCTGCTCCTCATAATGCTGCTCCTTCTTCTGCTGCCCCTCCTCTTCCTGCTCATCCTGCTTCTCCTCCTCTTCCTGCTCCTCCTGCTGCTCGACCTGTTCCTGCTCCTCTTCCTGCTGCTCCTCCTCTGCAGAAAGAGGAGCACCAAGAGGAGGTGAAGCAGGAGGAGGAGCAGCAAGAGGAGGAGCAGCAAGAGGAGGCGCAGCAGGAGGAGCAGCTAGAGGAGGAGCAGTAAGAGAAGGAGCAGGAGGAGGAACGGAAAGAGGAGCATCAAGAGGAGGAGCAGAAGCAGGAAGAGGATGAGCAGCAAGAGGAGGAGCAGCAAGATGGGGATCAGGAAGATGAGGAGCAGTAGTAGTAGGAAGAGCTGCAAGAGGAGCAGCAGCAGGAAGAGCAGCAAGAGAAGGAGTAACAGAAGGACAATGTTCGTGGGAAGAATAATTATTTTTCTGGGCCCACGTGCCGTTCGCGACCTGCCATTTTTTCATGTGCCACCCTCAGCACACCATTCCATAATTGTAAAATATTGTAATATTGTAAATGACAAATATCGCATCTGCCTATGGACAAGAGGGTTATTTATTTTTAAGGTTATATTTTCTGTATTTAATGCGTTTTAACTTGAACTTTACGAGAGAACTAAAATATATTTCTGGTGGCAACTGTTGTCACGTGTTTGAAATATTTTCGCCTTGGAACAAAAGCATAATGGCCTGCTAGGTTGAATGCTGTTTTTGAAGCAAAAATGTTCTACATCTGTATAATGACTGTTAATATAAAAGCAGCTACAGCAATTAACGATTTACCGAAACACGCTCGCGGTTTAGTCCATTGACGGTTATCGCGACTGCAGTTAAAATTGCAGGAAAGGAGAATAAAATGTGTTATAATTAATAAAAACTGTCAGTTAATAATTTAACTATGTCTTGAAGCAACGTAATTTGTAGACAAGTTTATTTGGCTATGTAAAATAACAGCACTCAAAACAAGAATGTATTATTAAAAAAGGAAGTTGGAAACAACTGTCTAAACAACTGGGGTTAAAAGTCGAGTCAAGAGAAGAAATAATGATTCACACTTTCAGGGGTATCTCAGGTGCCTACCAAACAGAATTACGCGCGAGTAGATGTAAATATGAAGAGCCTTTTCGATAATCAGGAATTAATTGCTGAGGTTTTAGAAACTGAGGAAATATCAAATGCTGAGCTAGACTCTCCTCCGGAAAATATTAAGGAGTTGTTAAAAGATTGGACTTTAACTAGGATAACTTTAGAGGATGCTGATCACGAAACTTTATATAACAACAACGTATCTTTACTCATTGGAGCTGATAACGTATCTTTACTCATTGGAGCTGATAACGTATCTTTACTCATCAGAAACTGACTGATATCAGCCCGCTTTGCTAGGTACATGATCTATTTGAATGTCAACCTAGACTTCTTATATGAACGAAATTTATAATTTCGAATTGATAATTAATGTAATTTTTTTAAATTTAATGTATATAGTGCCAGTCAAGGAAATATGCCAGTCAGTGAATCTGTCATACACAGACTTCCACATCACTCATGAGGTACTGTGTATTGGGATGCGTCTTCATTATTTAACGTGGCAGGATCCCCCAGTAGGCCTACACCACGAAAAATTGCCAACATAAAACTAAGGTTTATATATATTTAACTGTTATCATAAGTTTCATGAAAATAAATGTTATTATCTTTTGATATCAAATTTTTTAATTAATTATAATTATCTGTCCTTGATATTTTATGTATGGGAATTTACATAAATAACAAAAACATTTTTATTTTTCATCACAATAATTTATTTCTCTTAATAATAAAATTTATTTTTATGAAACGTATGACAACAGTTAAATATAAATCTTATTATTAACCTTATCATTAAAATATTGTTTGTATTCTTTGGATAGATGCAAGTTAGCTACCAATTTAAATAATTTTAGAGGAAAATGCATTCATTGGCAACACTGTATTTCATATCTAGTTTAGGCAACAATAAAAAGAATTCTGAACTGTCTACATCGTGGAATGAGTAACTACGGAAAATTTCAAGTCAATCGGGTGTATAGTTTCGGAGATCTTGTGATGAGTCGGTGGTATTTCGCTTATATATATATATATAGATATACTACACACTTATACATATGCACACACTTACATATATATAGATATACTATGCATAAGTGTGTGTGGGTAACATATAACAAAATACGATAGCTGCTTTATGAATAATTAACGACCTAAAAATTAACTACTCTAGATTTGGTGCTCTCCCTCTAAATTCATCTATTCTCCCAAATTCGATATCATTCCATGTTAGATAACAACCTAAAAGTAACCAATCACAGCTTAATTATACAGCTAGTATAAATAGCTAATAACTGCGTAGTCTCCCTCTCTTTAGCCTCTTCGTCTGCCTGCTGACAGCGTGTCGCTCAGCTAGCTGTTGGTGTATTTAATTATGGCAAAGCACACTAGGGCTATCTGCCTAAGGGAAAGGATGCCTTCGTGGAGGAGATTCTAAGGGAAACTGGCTCGTATATACGTTACGCATGAGGAAAACCACGAAAACTCCCATGCAGCCAGCTCGTTCGCGGGATTCGAACCTCGGACCGAACTACCAGTGTTCAGCGACTTAACCGCTCGGCCGCTGGTGGGCCCGCTCAGCTAGCTATTCGCTATTAATTAAAATGCAATTGCATATCTAAAATTATGGGGCGCTTTTAACATCCCTAGTTTTCTAACAGTTATGTGTTAAGAAATTCGTTATTCAAGAATAAATGATGTTTAACTATCAAGCTGGTCATGCTTCTTCTAAAATTCCATCCTATCATCCTCTACGCCATAATGTGCCATCATCTGCGAAGCAGTTTTTTCGGCCATGACTAAAAGTGAATTGTTTTTATCTTCCGCCAAAAGTACAATGTTACACACACGCACATACATACATATATATATATATGTAATAATAAAATTCCATAGTCAAGAATACACTTAAAGTTCTAACTGCATGTTCTTTTAATTTTTAATGGCGACGTTCTCTTATTTGAAAGTACGTGGAATTAAATCCACAGCCCCGTAGTCAAGTTGTTTTTTCCGCCTTTTCTACACGTACAGTTATAGAATGTTCTCGAAATATTTAAAGCGAACTGGATTGGCTGACGAGGCGGACGTCATTTCTTAGAAGTTCCGCCTTTCCAGAGGCTATAAAAAGACTCGCAGAAGAATATCGGGGCTTTTTTCTTAAATGTCACGATGCAGTAAACTTCATACAAAAAGTTATTAGTAATTCTTTTTATTTACTCCGGATATCTGATTTTTTTAACTGCTATTTCTCCTGAATAATAGTAAATGGATCCTGTTTTTTAAACTTATCGTCTGATTATTTAAGCTACGACTAAAGCTGATACATCACAAGGAGTCTAAAGCTGATACATCATATATATATATATATATAATTATTGTTACAATTATTGTTATAATTATTATATATTTATATATTATTGTTAATTAATATATTGTTACGGATTTGGTATTTAAATAGTTAATGTTAGTAGAATTATAAATAAATTGTTTTATTCCCCGTGCGGCGCGTGACGAATATTAAAAGAAAGCTAAGCCGGAAAATTAAAAATACAAGAGCACGTGCATTTAATATTTAACAAATGAATATTTCTTTTTAATTTCGAGAAACTGATAGAACAATCTCGCGCGTGATTTAAAAAGCTTATAAAAAGGAGGAAAACCTCTCAATTTAGTTAGTTAGTTGTTGTCTTAAGAGTTTGTTTAGAAAACTGCTTCTGTTGACTGTATAGCGAATTCGCGAATTAGCTTTCTCTAGCTATTTTGAATTAAGTTGTGTTCAACGTTTGAGTAGTTAAAAGATAAGTACTGTGAGATATTGCAATACTGTACGAATATCTGAGGAAATTTAAGCATTTTGTTTAATTTGTTGTGATAATGATAAATTTTGTTAATTTTTTCATCGGTGTGGTGTATTTAATTATGGCAAAGCACACTAGGGCTATCTGCCTAAGAGGAGGGATGCCTTTCGGGAGGACTTTCTAAGGGAAACTGGCTCGTATACACGTTACACATGGGAAAACCACGAAAACGCCCATGCAGCCAGCCCGTTCGCGGGATTCGAACCTCGGACCGAACTACCAGTGTTCAGCGACTTTACCGCTCGGCCGCTGGTGGGCCATTTTTTCATCGGACTTGTGCACTTAATTCCTAACGAACCCGTTCGTACGCAACAATATGTAATAAAAATAAGAGAACTAGAATTAAAAGAAAATATAAAGAAATAAATATAAATTAATTGGTCATAAATGCAGTAAAAACGTTTACAAAAAAGGTCCAAAATTAAACTCCACTTACATTTTTTAGAATGGGACGATCACTTATCTTTAAAAAATCTGAGCCTTGCCTTTTTGCAGGATATGTTTATCCGAGCATCAAAGATAGAGAAACAGGGCTCCTAAAACGAACTTTCGAACATCGTAACCAGTAAACATGCCTTTAAATGGAGTTATTACAACTCTGATAATACGATAGCTTGTAAACTAATTACAGTAGAATCCTGAGAAAAAAAGAAAAAAATTGACAATATATATAAGGTATTTCTCCCGCTTCGCTAGCGTGCCTTCGTGGTGTAGTGGTCAGCACACTGAGCCGGTATTTCAGAGGTCCGTGGTTCGATTCCCGGGGTAGGCGGTTGCATATTTTCAACTTTCCTGCTTCCAATTAACCTAATGTCTCTACAATTATAATGTCTTCTTATTTTATTCTGTTGATGTTTATATTCATTGTTTTATTCGAAAAAATGTAACTCTTAAAATATACACAATCTAATATTTATTAAAATCCGTGTATGGGATCAAATTATGAACCTTAACATAAACGTCGATTCCCTAAAATCAGCTCATCAATAATACATTTTATTCCAGAAATAACTGTGTTGCAAATTTTAGGTGATTCATTCTGTGCGTACATAACATACATCCATATCATTCTCTCATATCCAGTATTCTAAATATACTTGCAGAAATAAAATAAAATAAATAAGTCTTCCATTTAGAGATGTCAAATTTTCACCTCTTTTTAAAATTAATTTGCTTGAACTTGGCATATGTGTTTGTTTTTATAATAGCGCTATCCATGATCTGACTGTTGAAATATAAATTTTAATTTAATTCATATTTGTCCTTTGCTAGCTAAGAGATCCCGCCCAAAGCTTATCAGTGTTTTAATGTTTTTCAACATATCATGTTCAGGACACTCCTGCTCATCACAAACAGGCGGAACCCATAAATCACAGTAACAATAAGACAGATCAGGGGTCAACAGTCTTATGCAGGTTTTTATTTTCACATAGAATGAAGAACTTACGCTAGAGGTTATCTAATGTACTTTTTGAGGACATGACCCTTCTTATTCCCTTTAAACTTCTTATAGTATTA